TAGTTGGATTCCATTGCAGTTGGAGAATACTCTATATGACTTCAATTCTTTTAAATTTGTTGAGTTTTGGAGGATTGGAGATTTGGAGTTTGAGGATATGGTCTAATTGGTATATGTTGTGTTTGCACTTGAAAAGCATGTGTATTTTGCTGCTGTTGTATGGCTTGCTCTATAAATGTCAATCAACTAGGTCATATTGGTTGACGGTGTTGTTCAGTTCTATATGCTTGATAATTTTATGTTTAGTTGTTCTATCGTTTTAAAAGGTGTTGTTGAAGTCCTCAACTGCAATTGTGGATTTATTTCTCCATTCAATTCTAATATTTTTTGCTTCCCACATTTTGCTCTGTTGTTTGGTGTATGCACATTTAGGATTACAGGCAGACATTGTTTTATTGCGCTTCACTTTATCGCGCTTTGCAGTTATTGAGTTTTTTTTACAAGACTCTCTGCCAGCAAAAAGATTACAACTTGCTTAAGGCTCAGATGATAGTTAGCATTTTTTAGCCATATTTTTTAACTAAGGCATGTACATTGTTTTTTAGACATAACGTTATTGCACAAAGACTACAGTATAGTGTAAATAGGGAAACCAAAAAAATTCATGTGACTTGCCTTATGATATTTGCTTTATAGCAGCAGTCTGGAATCAAACGTGCAATATCTCCAAGGTATGCCTTGTACTACGTCTTCTTGATGGATTGACCTTTTTGTCATATAATGTCCCTCTCTGTCTCTGGTATTTTTCTTTGCTCTGAAATCTACTTTATCTGAGATTAACATAGCCACTCCTGCTTTTCTTCAATTAAGGTTTACCTGATACATATTTTTCCATACTTTTTGTTTCAGCTTCCCTATATTATTATGTTTGAATGAGTTTCTTGTAGACAGTGTATATTTGGGTCATGTTCCTTAATCCATTCTGCCAATATCTGTCTTTTAATTGGTACATTTAGACCATTTATATTTAATGTAATTATCAATATGTTAAGAGCTTAAGCCTGCCATTTTATTTTTTACTTTCTCTTTGTTCTGTTTTTTTGCTTGTTTTTTTTCCCTGCCTCATTGTGAGTTACTTAAACATTTTTTAGAATTCCATTTTGATTTATTTATAGTATTTCTGAGTATATCTCTTTGTGTAGCTTTTTCAGTAGTTTTAAATATTCTTCTATATACATTTAGAATCACCTTAAACAGTGTTATAATTTTTGCTTCAACTATCAAACATAATTTAGAAAACTCAAGATGAGAAAGCCTATTGTATTTACCCATATTTTTGCTACCCATATTTTTAATTTCTTCCTGATGTTCCAACTTTTCTTCTTTATCATTTCTTTTCCATTTAGAGAACTGGCTTTTGAACCATGCAATTCTGCTGGTGTCAAATTCTCTGGTTTCCCTAAACCCATCCTGTCTATCTGTCTGAGACCAAGTGGTGGCCCAAGAGGACTACATCAAAATATAGAAGTAGATGCCACCCCCAAAGTAGGGCCAGAACTAAAAGAATTATTCTTTTAGAACAGAAAGGGCTGAGGGGAAAGGGCACTGCAATTTACCACAGTGAGAAGATGGAGGTGGGAAGGGTCTGAAGGGGTGTTGGGAATGTCCTAACTTTTGAGGTTGCCATTTGTGGGAGTTGTGATGAGGCAGGAGATGGAATAGAGCACAAAGAATCTAGGTCAAGAGCAGAGGGCAGAGAGAGATGAAAAATACATACAACTGCCCTTTATCCTGAGGTGCTCCACACAGGAATGTTTTTTCCTCAACACAATGCCAATCTACCACTCTCTTCAAGTTCTAGCCTAAAATACTGTGAACTTTAGGTCGGGTGAGAATGAGGCTCTTGGTTCTTGGTTGGCCTGATAAACATATCTGGAACTCACGTCAGCAAAATAAGAAAGAAAATATTGATTTGGTCATGCTTTTTACAAGCCATTGCCATAGAGTCATGTTACCTGTCCCCGCCCCAGTGACCCTCATTTCATAGAAGAGGCAGCTACGGGGGGAAATAGCTTTCCTTAACCCTTAGATAAGCAACGACAATCTCTCCAATTTCCAATTTATGTTTTTCCTTTAAGCATCTTGGTTCTCATAATTCCCTAGCACCCACCTTTTCTCCAACCACCATCACGCTACCTTCTCCTTTTAGAAACAAGAAGAGAATGGAGACTGTTCTTCCATGATCATATTTGAAATGCTGTATTTCCCATTTCAATGGTCACAAAGCAATGACAGAAAATGTTGTCCTCAAGCTTGAGAATTCTCTAAGTGATCAGAAATTCTTTCCAGATCCAAAACATCCACAAGCTTAAGAAAAAGAATGAGCACATAATGATTTAATTGGCTTTCTCTTTTAATCAAAAACATACTTTGTTACAGAGTTCTCAGGAAAGGTTCAACTGTTTTTTAGCCACAGACTTCAACCAGGCAAAAGTACACAGAAAGCCACAGAGGAACTACCAGAGCTTTAGCTAACCAGTTTTCCAAAAAGCAGAAGCTAAATGTGGCTCTTCTCTGGATTTTGGCATAGCTGCATTCCTCTGACTTCAGGGGAGGAGACAGTTGGGAGATACGACCACCAAATCTGTCCCCAACCCCCAGTCACCTCCTCCAAATGGTTCTGCAGCCCATCAGGTTTTTATCATCTATAAGCATTCACACTTTTCCCTTAAATCACATGTCGAAGGCATTGGCCAGAACCCAATACTTGGAGTAAGTTTGCCGATTCTAGGTTTAGCCTTTTATCCAAGCCCATGAGTCCTTCTATCAATGACAAGCAGCCATAGCAACAGCAGTTGGTCTCATCCCTTCGTCTCCAGCTACCACAGAGCTGGCCTCTACCAGGACTCCCCAACCCCCCACCCTCAACCCATCCCCAAGGAAGGCTCTCAAGGTCCTTGAGAAAACCAAGTTCATTGATTATACTCATCCCAGGATAGGCTGGAAGAGAACTCTGAAAGGAATGCTCCAGCCAAAAGTCTTCTAATCAAAACAGACCCAAAAAGAGCCAAGAATAAAGTGAATAATCATCCACTGGTATTGTTTTCTTGAGTCGTAGAAACCATTTTAGTTGATGCAGTTCAGACGAATTTCCCTGTTTTGAGCATAGAAGAGTTAAGAAATCAAAGACCCAAAGTAATGACCCCTAATATCATCAGGCATTTACAGTAAGTTTTCAATCTGTTTTAGTTGGAAAAAAATTAGCACACAGCACTTAAGAGGACAGTGTCACACACATACCAACCCAAAGGGCAGAACGTCATGACTCAAAAAAGGCCTTAATAAATCTTGAATAGAGATGATGGGAAAATAAAATGAAGGCTTTTCCCCCTCTCGTTTTTTTTTTTTTTTTTTTTTTGTTAAGTATTTATTGCAGCCCCCAAGGTGGTGCTAGGCCTTTGGTTGAATTTAAGTCTTAAGGACATATTATGTAACTTCTTGTCCATAGGAGAATAGTAATAAAATATCAAGCCTAGTCTCATGTGAATAACATGGAAATAAGTAAAAAGCCCCCTCAAACAGCAGAGCAAAGGTGAGAAAGGAATCAAAAGCTGCTGCAAGGCAGGCAAGGTCACTTAAATTTCAGAGCTGGAAGAACTCAGCCGGTCCAACTCCCTCATTTTACAGACGAGGCCACTGAGGCCCAAGAAGGTAGACGACTTGCCCAAGGTCGTACATCCAATTGGCAGCAGAGCACGAACTAGAGCGCACGGCTGTCTTGCCCCAGCCCAGAGCCACTAGCTTCAGGATGAACAACACCACCGGCTCTGGGACCTACTGAGAAAGCATCTTAAATAAACTGTGAAAACGATACCTATCAATAGAGAGAAATGATTGTCTTCACCAGAGTTTTCTCCTCAGTCCTTCCTACATTAAAAAAAAAAGGGAAAAAAGTTCATTTGTTCATTCAAGTCTGATGTTAAGATCCCTGAAAACATCAGCAATTACTTTAAGCTACTCCTGGGGGAAAAATATCAGACCCTCAATTCTCATAAAGGCACCTATAGTCAAAAATATCTGTAGAAGAGGAAGGCCAGAAGATAGGGTTCAAATGGGACACCGAAACAAAACAAAAACAAAAACGACCCTCTCATTTTCCAAGGTTTGTTTTTGTTTGTTGCTGTTGGTGGTGGTTTGTTTTTTTGTTGGTGTCCTCTAGGCAAGAGTATTGCCTCTGGTTACTGATGCTAAGTTAGGAACCCTTATAACCCCAGTTTTTGTATGAGCAGCATTTGAGTGGAAGCAACAAAACCTTTCAAAATCTTTCAAAGGTGGAAAATAATATGCCTCACTTCTCTCTACCTCAGCTACCTGAAACTCAGCAAGAATCAGGAAGCACTCCAAGCAGTCCAACTGATGTCCAATGCCAAAGCACTGAAGTCCTCAGTACTTCATAGGAAAGTTTCTTGGGTCCTGTCCCAGTTTGTCCTTGTGTTTTAAAGAAAATTCTAACAAGCTTGGTCATCTGGTTTCTTTGCCCAAGCAGTCAGAAAAATCAATCAGAAAGGGAAGAAGAAACTACTAAGGGGGGGTACACAGGAAGTGGTTGCTGTCAGAAAGGGAGAAGATGGGGGGGGGCTTAAAAAAAACTAAACATTTAAAACCCTAGCACTCTGCGACCATTCAGCAAAGGCAAAACAGTCCTGCCTGTCTTAGCAGTCCCTGAAGTCTACAAAGACAGGCACAAAAAGAAATGTTATATCCAGTATGTTCTCTCATATACATATAAAATAACTCCATCAAAAGAATGGCTAAAGTAAAAAAGTTTTACTGCTTCAATAAGGCAAGTTTGGATTATGTGGAAAATTCCATTCCACAGTGATACCAGATAAAAAACCTAGCAGCACTGGGACAAGTGCTAGAGACAAGGCTGGGCTGGAGGATGCTGCCATGAATAAGGCCACTCACTTTTTACATCCTTCCTGATGTATCTTAGGAGAAAAGAAATTATCTAGCTGTCAGAAAAAAATGGGAAGGCTTGCACAAAAGATTCTCATAGCCTATTTTCTACAATCTAGCAAAGGAGGATTTAGGCAATTATTTACAGATAGTTATCTGCAACAAGATAGGTTCTACTTTTAGAAAAAAAAGCATTCCTTCATGCTATTATCTGCTAGTCTTAGCCAAGCCCCATCTACAAAAGAGTTGTTAAGTGACTTTAGAGGCAACTGCTTTCATATATTCATTTTACCTCAGTGACCTAAAATTTACCATTTTCCCAATCTGCTATCGTTAAAGAAAATGCCAGTAAAATGACAATGCTGAATTCAGAGCAAACTATAGAAACTATCAACAAAAAGGATTCTGCCCTACTCAGAATAAAACTGCTTCTTCCAAAAGGCTCTCAAAAAGGTTCTGAACTAATCTGACTTTGCATAGCAGCTGGTGAGTAACCAACCATTAACCAGTTACCACTAAACCAGGAGTAGAAATATTTCACCGTATATTCTTTAACCTCCACAGATACTTACAGAGCACCATGGGAAAGTGTAAAATTTCCCTTCTCCAGATGGGCATGGTCAAAAAGATAACTGCAATAAATGTTTAAAATAAGATATTTACCATCTGGAAGACAGGACATTTTATTTTGCCTTCAAAATTTCTATTACAAATACTACCCCCCTTTACACCACACTCTTCCTCACAAAAATGGATTTTTAACTTTGAAATACTACACAGCTAATATGTGTTCAGTTTACTTAAATGTTTCAAATATGGTTATCCTTAGGCCAGACCACCCAATCTGTAAACCTACAACGTTTATAGGAGGAATGGGATAGGCAACGGTTAGGTCAATACAAATGAGCCATGCTCTGGAAAAACAAGGTTATATGGCAGTGATTTATTATCATTATCTTTGTATACCAGGGGTAATATACTATAAAAAATGAGATAGACTATATCCCACAAAAGAAATCTACTCCCTGGAAAATAAAGGCAACACTATTAAGGATTCCCTTTGATAACGCACTGAAAGGCACTGGACAAAAGTGAAATGGGCCTCAGTGGATTATAAATGTATGTACTTGGTTCATCTCTCACTCAGCTTTCACTCAAATTCAACATTTTGAGAGTCTTTGAGATATGAACAAGCTAGAGAAAACCCACCCACAACCGTATCCTCATAATAATCAGATTCCAAGAACTGTGGAAACTATTCTATCCCTTAAAGTAGCCATAAAATCTTAAACCTAGTGATTCTTTAGTCTTACTCATCAAAGATGACCACCTCTAAGAAATGGAAATACTATTTAACAACTCTCAGGAATAACTGATCATAACAGACTAGATGTTTTCTCCAAAGCATGTGACTGAAGCTAGGTACAAATATAAAGCAATTACTAACTAGAAGTATTTCTTTGTACTTGCAGTACTTTTATGGCTCTTAGCAGAAAGAAACCAAGACAAGTGGCTTGGCCTCCAAGAGAGACTTCTTAGCAAATATCTTCCACATATCTTCCGCAGATGATTAAACATGAAAATCTTCCTTAAAGTAGAAAAGGAGCAATGGATTGTATTATAGCATGCTTATGGTTCTAATCAAATAATCTGGATTTTAAAAATCTGTATTCTAGAACTCTCTCCTCTCACTTCTATTTTTCACTCACCGTAAATTGGACCTAAGGTCAATAATTTCTAGAGAATGCATCTTTTTTAAAATCTGCCAATAAAACTTAAATCACAAAACTTGTACAAAAAACTGGGTCTCTAACAAAAGTATCTGTAAGTACTCAAGAGTACAAATGAGTTGGTAGAGAAGTTATTTTTAAACAAAAGACATGTAGCTTGGATCAAGATCTATGTTTAAATCACAGCAATAAGCAAACTTAGTGGTTTCTAAGATGGTCTTATTAAGAAGACCTTCTAAGCAAGGAAGTAGAAGACTTGGTCATTTAAGTCGCTATAAGGATGACTATCATGCATAAGTGTTTCTCATACCTCAAACTTGTAACACACCTTCAAGAATTTTATTACGCTTAAAAAGGCCCTCCAAGCAAAAAGTAAAAGTATCCAAAAGATAATCCTTGATTTTATTTCACACTATCTATCCTGTAGACAACCTATTTATCTTGTAGACAATCAGTCCTATTTTGCTACAGTAAAATAAAAGTTCAAAAAACAACCAACTTTACACTGGATACATAATGTCCATGGGGAAGTCCTGGTAGAGCATGAGGGAAAAACCAAAGCTGCCCAATAGTACTGGCTGTTGCCTGTCATTTAGTAGAAGGTGTCTCGCCACTGAGGTTGGACTCAAAAGTGCAAAAGAAAAAAAAAACTTAAAAATCAAACCTAGAATTCAACTTTGTATGTTGAGATTCGGTTTTATTTATGCTACTAGCTAAGTAAAAAGCATACATATTGTGTCTGTGGTACAGTCAATACATTTGCAACTTTTCTACTTAAATTCTCTATACAAAGTCACTGCCAACTGATATGATCATTGATGGCAAAGGGCTTAGAATAACCAAAAGGTATAAAAAAGTTTGCAGTCTTGCCCCAAGATACAAAAACTGAATTTTAAACAATGTCATAACATACATGATTTAAACAGCATACGAAAAAAAAAGCACACATCAAATCAAGTACAAAAATATCCAAACTATCTATTAGGAACTGTAATGTTTCCATTATTCTGCATAGTATTTAACATAGAATTTAGCAGTTTCCAAAACACTCATTATTTAGTTTAAGCATTGCCACCTTTGCAGAACAGTGAGATATTAGGTGGAGTGACACTGCTTTTAGTGTTTTTAAAAATACAAAACCTTTCCCTATGAATTAATGAAGGAAAGAAATTCCTTTTCTAGGCTTCATAGTAACCAACCTTGTGCCTAGAAATATAGAAGAATACATCTAACTGTTTAACAGGGCAAAAGTTTACTTCTTGATAAATAGTTATCCAACAGGGATAACAAATGTAATTTTTAAATGATATTTCTTTGTCTGGTAATTTTAAGGAATTCTCAATATATACACAGATTAGTGTTTTGCCTTGGCAAAAATAAAATTGAAGTTGCAAGACAATCTGAATTGAAATCATCTTCACTAGTTTAACTTGCAAAAAAATATTTTGGATAAAAGGTTAGAATACATTACTATCTTATTTTTTAAACACAGTAAAGTTGCTCTTGGTAAAATTAACTCACCCACATGGCACAGTATTTTGGAGTAAATTATGGTCAACAATAACAACTTGCACACAAAATAACATAGGTGAATTAACTTTGAGAACTTCTCTGCCTTTAAAATCAGCAATATTGAATTTATCGTGTAGAATAACATACATATTGAGGTTCTGCATATAAAATGCTCTAAGACATTTTAAAGGGCTAAATTTTCCAGCACTGGAATGATTCCTTCATACATAACTGGTGAAGATTTAATAAGAATGTGTTTTCCTGATCTTCAAGCTCTGAGCCATGCCTGAAAAGTTCTAAATAGGAAAAAAAAAATTGTTTTAATCCAGTTTCTGTCTGCTAGGAGCAAGGCAGCAAACACATTTTTCAACCCTTTATGAAAAGATAAAGCAGAACAAAAGTGAAATATATCTTCAGATTATAAACAGGATTGTATTTTATAGTCCACCATCCTGATAACGTTAAGGGCCCCAAGAGTAAAAAGACCTCAGTCTAAAGGTTGTGGGTCGGCAATAGGCATGGTGTGAAGTACTTCATCTAGGAGCTGGAGGGCCCGGTGTAAGTGAATCTCAATCCAGCAAGGTGTTTCTTTGATGCTCTGTCTTGGGTAATCCGGTCCCCAGCCTTTCACAAAACTCATCCTGAGTATGCATAAGCGACGAAGGTCATCAACACCAATTCCGGCAGCAGCTGACAAACCTAACAGAAAAGATTTGGAAGACGTCAGAGGGACAGGCTGATTTCTTCCCATCCTCCCTACATCTTACATTAATAAAGTGAGCAGCTTTCTTTACTTCCTTCTCCCCAGCATATAACGTCTCTGTCAAAGTGCCAAAAGTTAAGTGTAGATCTAAACTTTATTAACAGGGACTGAAAACTTTTGGTTAAGACGATTTACATTCCACATAGGTCTTCTAGCTACTACCAATTAAAAAGTAAATTACCACAATCCACCAACACCCCACCTATTTTTCTCTTTAGAAGTGGAGGTGAAGGGATAAGGAACAACTTGTTTTTAAGAGGTCGTGCATGTCCACAGGTTGGTTCTAAGAACCTTGCTATCTGTCTAAACAGCCTAGTTCAGAGTAAGACATGACTAATAATAAGACAGTTAACAGTCCTGGTTCTAAGACTTCTTGGATGACCCAAATGATGTCTGTCTCTCAATTTCCCAGTGTAACAGAGATAATATGCAATTACCCAATGGAGGCAGTAAATAAGAACAAGAAATTTAGTAATTCTGGATTCTTTAGTAAAAGCATGTTTATAACATCAAAACTAGCAAATTAAAGGTTTAGATGCCCAAATTTTAAAAAAAATCTAATTCTCCAAATGAATACGCCTTATCTATCTCTAAATTATAAACTCCTGAACATAAGTCACAATGGAGACTCTGCATCTAATTTTCCAGTCAGAACATTCAGTCATATAGTCAATCTGCATTCATCAATATTACAATGAAACTAATGGGAGGAATTTGCATGTACTGTAGAGAAACCTGCAGGGCCACTGCAGTTTTCTTAGCCAGTGTGATTTGCTTACCACACTGAAGAGGTTAAGAACAGGGGTTGAATGAATCACTAGTTATGCCTTCAGACGTGGAAGATGGGTGCCACGTGTTTCCATCATAAAAGTCTATAGTCAGGAGTTTAACTCTGCAGTAAAAAATTCCCCATCAGTGTGAAACCTGGCACACAGTTCAATTTTACCCTAAAATTAAAAAGAAGTCTACAAGTTATCAAAATACCACCCTCACTTCGTTTTCTCTCCATGCTTAGCATACTTAAAAAAAAATTGGAGAGGTGCCTAATTCTGAAATTGAAATATGCTTTCCTTCTTGAATAAAGCCCAGTGCGTTGGTGATTACAACCCACCCTGGCTGGTGAGGCAGGAATTAGAAGCATCAACAAAAAAAGGGGAGATTGATCAGTATAATGTAATAATAACCCCCTTTCTCCTTTATCCCATACTCCCTTTTTGATATAAAAAGAATAAAAACAGTGTCCTAGACAAAGGGCAACTATTACAGAAGAAGTTTTTTATAAATTCAAAAATGTTATTATCCCAGTAAATCAAGATAAAACACCAACTATTACACTTAAAAAAAAAAAAATCAAAAGCATACTTACTGATAGCTGGAGCTATTCCACCTACTGATCCTGGGCCAGGGATGTTTCCGGCCACGGCCGCCGCCTGAGCAGCTGCTGCAGCTTGTGCAGTGGCCGCCTGCTGCTGCATCTGACGATGACACTGACGCAAATCAAAGACCTTTAAAAAAGAAGTATAAGTTTCACACTCTGAGTCCATCAGAAGAGATCCCATACGTCAAAAATCAATGCACTATTTAAAACTCATAGCTTCATTTAGCTCTCAGAAGAAAAGAATTAACTAAAAATTTTAGGTTTTTATGTAGACTGTAATTGATTAGTTAGGAAAGGTGGCTTGGAGCTCACCATGAGGCACCTTTCACTATCAGGACAGCTTTGGCTACCCCGTGCCTCTGTATCCTTTTTCTCTAGTTCAGTATGGGTCAGCCATTACTGTTTTTGTGAAAAACCACCTGTGTGTATAAAATGCACAGTGAAGAAATCACCCCCACCCTTTCATAACCAAATTGCTGACAGTTTTCTTTAGGCTGAACTGATGGCCTTGGTCATATGGCCATCTTTTCTTTATCATTCTAGCTATTTGGAGGAGTGTAATAAATGGCATTGCCACTATATAAGAGAACATCTGCATATTTTAGATGCACACTTTAGTACATAGGAGCAAAATAACATGACATCTAGCATTTGTTTTAAAATACTTAAGAAACAAAGAAAAAAGGATAGATCGAGCAAATGTAAAATCTTAACAACTACTTAGTCTCAGTGATGGGTATATGGGATTTCATTAAACTAGTTCATCTCTACTTTTCTGTATGTTTACAAATGCTCATAATTAAAAAAAAAAAAAAAAGATTAGCTTTGAATCCTATCACTGATATCTGCTAATTACATGGGTTAAGTTTCCTAACCTCTCCTGGAGCCTCAACTTTCTTATCTATAAAATGAAAATGCTAAGTGTACATGCTTTTTCATAGGGTTGTTGTAAACTTGGCATAGTATACAGTAAACTGTTAATAAATGTTACTTATTATTTTGTTTTTGGCCTCCCTGTAGCCATTTACCTTTCAGGATGAGCAAGGAGTTCATACGTCATTTCAGTGTTCTTCATCAGCATGCGAAAGGCTAGCATATTAAGGGAGGGGTTGCCACTTTTACCCTTATCCTCATGCAAGTACTGGAATGTTCTCACCGTAAGCAACAAATTACGGATGACAAATCACATCCCCTTTTTTCTAGGAAAACATCAACTTCCTAACATAATGTATTTGCTTATATTTGCACTAAAAAAAAGCACTGGAAGATTATACAAGCAGAGTGGTCATCTATAGAAGTTGTAGGAAAGGAAGACAAGGATAGAATAGAAGCAAGGCTGCTCAATGCAAATTTTTTTTATATTTTAATTTCTGAACCATGTGACTATACTCCTTATTCAAGGAATAAAATTTTAACAAATCCTCCTAGTATGCACAACATCCAAACATGAGCAAGCATAATTATCCTTGACAGTAAAAGAAATCAAAGAATGAATAACACACTATTCATCAGATAAACAACAGAATACGGAACTCAAACCAATTATTTTCAGATGCCTGAAAAAACTGATTGTCTTTAACCATGGTATTTACACGAACCATACAACAATAATAAATAAAACAACTCTCTTCAAATAGCAAATCACATTCCTATTTACTTATTTCTCTACTCAATGCCTATCTTCTAGCATCAATGAAGGACAAAACTTAGACTATCCTATTCTCTGAAGGGATATGAATTTGTCAAATATATATATATTACCCGGCCAAACCATTAGTCCTAGAAGACTTCAGGACAGAAAACATAACAAAGTCACATCTGGAAATCAGAAATCCCACAATGCCCAGAACAGAAACCACTATTTTTTCAAGATTTCCCAAAAGTCCATTAGATTCTGAACTTTTCCACTGGGCTATGTACTCCTGGAAGGCATTACATACCACAGCACAAAGCAGGGACTCAAATATTTGGAAAGTTGAATAGCTCTACAACCACTTTTTTTTTCAGAAGGAAATTAATAAACTTTATTTTTTACAGCAGTTTTAGGTCACAGTAAAACTGAGTAGAAAGTAAAGTGCTTATCCCCACTCAAGCACAAACTCCCCCACCATCAATATCCTGCACCACAGCGGTACAATTCTTATAACTGAAGGGACTATATCGACACATCATTATCACCCAAAGCCATAGTTTACATTAGGTTTCACTCTTGGTTTCATACATTTCTATAGGTTTGGGCAAATTATAATGGCATGTATCCAACATTGGAGTACCATACAGAGTAGTTTCACTGCCCTAAAAATCCTCTGTGCTCTGCTTATGCTTCCTTCCCTCGCCCCTTAACCCTGGCAACCACTGATCATCTCACTGCCTCCACAGTTTTGCCTTTTCCAGAATGTCATATAGCTGGGATCATACAGTATGTAGCCTTTTCAAATTGGCTTCTTTCACTTAGGAATATGCATTTAAGGTTCCTCCATATCTTTTCATGGCTTGATAGCTCATTTCTTTTTAGTGCTGAATAATATTCCATTGTCTGGATGTACCACAGTTTATTTATCCATTCACCTACTGAAGGACATCCCGGGTGCTTCCACTTTTTGGCAATTATAAATATCTATGTGCAGGTTTTTGTGTGGACATAAGTTTTCAATTCATTTGGGTAAATACCAAAGAGTTTGATTGCTGGATTGTATACTAAAGAGTATATTTAGCTATGTAAGAAACTACCAAACTGTCTTCCAAACTGGCTGTACCATTTTGCATTCCCACCAGTAATAAATGAGAGTTCCTGTTGTTCTACGTTACTGCCAGCATTTGATGTTGCCAGGGTTTTGGATTTTGGCCATTCTACTAGGTATGCAGTGGTATCTCATTGTTTTAATTTGCAATTCCCTAATGACAAATGATGTTGAATATCTTTTCATATGCTTACTTGCTATTTGTATATCTTCTTCAGTGAGGTGTCTATTCAGGTTTTTTGCCCATTTTTTAATTAGGTTGTTTGTTTTCTTACTGTTGAGTTTTAACAGTTTTCTAGATTTTAGATAATAAATAGTCTTTTATCAGATTTGTCTTTTGAAATATTTTCTACTAGTCTGTGGCTTTTCTTCTTCTTTTCTTATCTACATTGTCTTTCGCAGAGCAGAAGTTTTTAATTTTAATGAAGTATAGCCCATCAATTATTTCTTTCATGAATCATGCCTTGGGTGGTGTATCTAACAAGTCATCACCATACCCAAGGTCATCTAGGTTTTCTCCTGTGTGATCTTCTAAGAGTTTTATGGTTGTGTGTTTTCCATTTAGGTCTTTACAAAAACACACAACTCAAAAAAAATTTTTTTAACCATCACTAACCAAGTATTGTACATATATAATCTTTTTATCTGGGAGCAGGGAATAAAATTTGCTTATAAATTCCCAGGATTCAAATATGCTCTCAACATACCCCCACCCCCACCATGAGTCATTAAAAAATAACCAACAGATCCTCACATACAGGCTCTTTACAATATGTTGTAAACAATCGCAATTATGATTATTTTAGCCTAAATCTATGTTAATCACCAGCAACACATATTATAGGTAACCATAAAGATGAAATCTTAAAACATTATGACTTTTACCTGCAAACGTAGCAAAAATGATTCATTAAGCACCTCAGCAAATCCTCCTCCCACCGTGTATTATTTACGTAATTACAGCACTGAAACCAGAAGACTTATAATTATTGGCTATACAGTCATGCATTGATTAATGACAGGGATATGTTCTGAGAAATGCATCATAAGGCAATTTCATCGTTGTGCAAACATCATAGAATGTACTTACACAAATCTAGATGGGTATAGGCTACACACCTAGGCTACATGATACTAATGTTATGGAACCACCATCATATATGCAGTCTGATGTTGACCAAAACGTCATTATGCAGCGTGTGAGTATACTGGTATCTGAAATCTGGGTTCTCTCCTGAATGTACACTATATCTAACCCATTATACCATACTAGATTTAACCTGTTATACCAGATGGTAAAATTAAGGCTATCACTGAAATGCAACCATCTTTCTTTCAGAATATGACTGAGTTGTTCATAAAGACAATTCAAAGTAACCAAAGGTTTTAAATATTCTTTTTGGCTCAGATCTAGGAGATATCTCTGATCAGCACTCCTGAGCTAATAAACAACTTACCTCTGCTTTCATTTATATAAACATACTTCCTGTGGTTACTCTCATACAAGGTTATTACAAACTTATTACTTAACACAGGTGAGTGTCTTATAAAGATCACTGTCACCATCTTCAGGATACTGTCTTTCAATCAGCAAATTCTGGCATTTTTCTTTCATAAAGCTTAATTACAACACTCTCAGTTTAAATCAACACCAGGAAACAGTAACCCATAAAGAGAAACAGAAGGTTGTGTTGGTGTACTGGGAATCTGCACGTAAGATTGCATGAAGGACTTGCTAAGTTACCTGACCTAGAGGTAAGAATCACAATAGACGGTAATTGGGAATAAATTTAAGTGGGGAATCATAATAATCTTCAACCTAGCCCACTTGTGGTTTAGAAGCATCCACTGCCCCCTTCCCCTAACATATACGTATTCAAAAACAAACCTGACTCAACATTATCAGAGAAATGCAAATCAAAAACCACCACAATGAGATATCACTTCACACTCAGTGGGATGGCTAAAATCGAAAAGACAGATAATAACAAGTGTTGATGAGACTAGAGAGAAACTGGAACCTTCCTACACTGCTGATGGGAATGTAAAATGGCGCAGCCACTTTGGAAAACAATCTGGCAGTCCCTCAAACAGTTATGCACAGTTACCTGACAATCCAGCAGTTCCACTCCTAGGTATATACTCAAGAGAAATGAAGACTTATGTTCACACAAAACTTGTACATGAATGTTCATAGCAGTATTATTCATAATATAGCCAAAAACTGGAAACACATATGTCCCATCAACTGATAAATGGATAAACAAAATGTATATGGAATATTATTCAGCCATAAAAAGGAAGGAAGCACTGATATATGCTACAAAATGAAATTTGAAAACATTATGCTTAGTGCAAGAAGTCACAGAAGACCACATTATATTAT